TGTTTGTTGGGAAGTTTTTTTAAACTAAATAATCTTTTTAATAATACTAATAATAGTATTCTTTAATTAATAATACTCTTTCTATTAATACTATTATACTACAATGTTTTAACAATATGATATTTGGTTTTACTATTCAATAATTGCCAATTTTAGGTTTATTATTCCCTCAACTCCACAACTGTTAGATCATATGTACACCAAATTATTGGATCCTTGGGACGTGGCACTCCTTAAACTATCTATGATTGACAAGAAAAGCTTTGATGTAATCACAAATGCTAGCCCAACCCTAATTAAGTCAACTATATCATGTCAAAATGCCATTTTGACATCTCTGTTGCGTCTTTCATTAACGTTTCCCAGATGCCCCACCACATTCCTTTAACCACATGAAGCGCTTGCTTACGACCACAAAGCCAATCACAGTTGACTGTTGATGAACACACTGTCACTTTTTACAAGCACACCTGCGAGCCTGCTGTTTGTGCAGGTTCAAATGAGCAGTTCTGACTATGTTTTAACGAAAATGTGTGGCATTCTTCTGTTCCTGTGAACCAAATTCCACAGACAAGATGATGTCTGAGCACTGCTGAAGAGAAGTGCACTCACCGGCCACTTTATTGGGTACACCTGTCCAACTGCTCGTTGACTCAAATTTCTAATCAGCCAATCACATGGCAGCAACTCAATGCATTTAGGCATGCGGACATGGACAAGACGATCTGCTGCAGTTTGAACTGAGGGTGTTGCTCTGCGGTTGCTAGGGTGTTCCGAGTAGTTGCTAAGGCATTGCTAGGGTGTTTTATGTGGTTGCTAGAGTGTTCTGAGTGGTTGCAAAGGCATAGCTAGGTGGTTGCTATGGTATTTCTAGGTGGTTGCTAAGATGTTGCTAGGTGGTCCCTAAGGTTTTGCTAGGTTGTTGCTAGGTGGTTGGTAAGGTGTTCTGATTGGTTGCTAAGGTATTGCTAGGTTGTTGCTAGGCATTGTTGCTAAGATGTTTTAGGTTATTGCTAAGGTGTTGCTAGGTGGTTGCTAGGGTGTTCTGATTGGTTGCTATGGCGTTGCTAGGCAGTTGCTAAGGTGTTCTAGATCATAGCTAAGGTGTTGCTAGGTGGTTGCTAAAGTGTTGCTAGGTGGTTGCTAAGGTGTTCCTAGGCAGTCCCTAAGGTTTTGCTAAGTTGTTGCTAAGGTGTTGCTAGGTGGTTGGTAGGGTGTTCTGATTGGTTGCTAGGTGGTTGCAAAGATGCCGCTGTGATTGCTAAGATATTTTAGGTCGTTGCTAAGGTGTTGCTAGGTAGTTGCTAGGGTGTTCTGATTGGTTGCTATAGCATTGCTAGGTGGTTGCTAAGATGTTCTAGGTCACAGCTAAGGTATTGCTAGGTGGTTGCTAAGGTGTTGCTAGGCAGTCCCTAAGGTTTTGCTAGGTTGTTGCTAGGTGATTGATAGGATGTTCTGATTGGTTGCTGGGTGGTTGCTAAGGCGTTGCTAGGTTGTTGCTAGGTGATTGCTAAGATGTTTTAGGCCATTGCTAAGGTAGTTGCTAGGGAGTTCTGATTGGTTGCTCTGGCATTGCTATGAGGTTGCTAAAGTGTTCTAGGACAAAGCTAAGGCGTTGTTAGGGTGTTCTGAGTGGTTGCTAAGTGGTTACAAAGGCGTTGCTAGGTGATCGCTAAGCTGTTGCTAAGCAATTGCTAAGGTGTTCTGAGTAGTTACTAGGCGGCTTGGTATTTTTAACTATGAGCTGTATTTTAGCTTTATCTGTGTTTCTCTACCACTGACTGCTGTTTATCTGACGTAGCGCATTAGAAGCAGACATGGATGTGGGAGCGGTGGGTGGAGAGAAGCAACTCATTTGCATTTAGAGCCACAGGCTACAGAAACAGCTACGTTATCCTCAGACAAAAACAGAGGGAGATTCTACATTATATAATAAATAATCTGATAGGTATACTGAGCTGAACCTTTACAGACACATTCTGGAGACACCAAAGTCGTATCTCACATCTTGTAAAAGAGGTCAAATATGTGCCCTTTAAGTTCAACTTTGTAAAACCGCATCTGCAAACAGAAGTAGCTCCCAAAAATATATTACTGATGTGAAGCTAATCAATAACTAATGCAAGACAAATAAGACATTTGAACATTTTATTTGTTACTGCAACCACGTGATTTAACAACTTTAATACTTTATTAAATATTAAACATAATTTTAAGAAACATTACAACAAAACCTCTTGGCTGCTTTAAAGAGACAGGCTCATTTTAAAAGCGTAGCCCTGTATACATTTCTAGAGAGCACCAAACATCCCAGGAGGTACATTTTTTTGGTGAAGTTTTTGTTTTCACAAATCCACCAGAGGCCGCTGTGTACGCTTTTTGAGATCTCAAATTTCTCTTGTGATTGCCATTCAAGCCTGCTCTTCTCACATAAATCTGGGGGATTCGTGAAAACAAAAGCGTCAAAAAACATACCTCCTGGGACATATTTGGTGGTCTCCAGAAATGTATATAGGGCTACTTTTTCAGAATAAGCCTGGGTTGGTAGTTTACATGTATTTTAGGAATACAAAATTCAGTTTAAATTTGTACTTGAAGCTTTCAGGCAAATAAAGTTTTACCTGTATTATAAACTTTTAAGTTGTTATTCTGATGGTCAAAATGGCATAAATGTGTGGATGTAAAATGGACGTCAAGGTTTTGACATCAAAATCGATTTACATTTTGAGGTAATTGTTTGCTGTCATGCTTGATACCAATTCAATGTTGTTTTGAAATCAAGGTAAATAAACTGCTAAATAAAATTATTTAATGATATAACACACATCACAGCACAAAACCTTGATTCGACCACTTAATTAATAATTCAGATTAGGGCTGTGCGATTAATCGAAATCTAATCGCGATTTAAAACGTTACAATTAGCTAATCGCAAAAGGCTGTGAAATGGTATATATAATATTTGATTTTCTCCACCCAGACCAAATGTGTGCATGACGTCTGTATGTGGAAGTCTTAGGCCCAATCCCAATTCTACCCCTTAGCCCTTTCCCTTACCCCTACCCCTCGTTTTGCTTGTTCACGCCAAGGGGTAGGGGTGTCCCAATTCTCTTTAGCTTGAAGGCGTAGGGTTAAGGGGAAGGGGAAGATTTTTCAGGACCACACTCAAAACAAAGGGGTTAGAAAGTTTCCCAGAATACACCAGACACAGCTGCACAAAGAGGTAAGGAGATCCACAAATTAGTATTTTTGTCATTATTATGAATTTTTACAACAAACAAACACGTTTTAATATAATTATAACCGCGTACGTGTTTTGCCGTCTTGCTTTTTAAAAAACACATGACATATGATGACGTGTGCAGGTGCTGTAGTGCTGTCCCAATTCTTAGGGGTAAATTTTGAAGCCCTTCCCCTTAACCCTCGGTTGTAAGGGCCAAGGGGAAGGGGTTAGAGGTCTGCCAGCCTGATCTCTTGAGAAAACGTAAGTATTTTACGTTTTGCCAGTTAAGTGACTAATTCGTACGAATTTAAACGAGTTCAGTCGTACGAAATTGTACGATTTTAAAAAGGAGGTGTTGCACCTAACCCCACCCCTCAACCCAACCGTCATTGGGGGATGAGCAAATCGTACAAAATTGTACGTATTTGATCGTACGAATTCATACGAATTAGCCACTAAAACAAAAAGTTACGAATTGCTGTGAGATTGTGTTGGGTCTGCAGGGCCCAAGCAGATTTCTTTCGGCACGGGAATAAATTTCCGAATAAAGCGCGGTAGCGGTCGGTAACAGGTGTGTTTTTGGACAGGAGCGGGAGGTCTAACAATATTGCTTCCAACATACGCAAATCGAAATCACAATATCAGTCAAAAACATAAAGAAATTAATTTTAAAATATCACAATTAGATATTTTCCCCAAATCGCACAGCCTTAATGTAGATTACTTGCATTTATGATCTTTAAATGATATTAAATGTTTTGGGTTGTGTGAATTTCCAATGGAAGACAGAAATAAAAGCATTTAGAAGACATAAAGGTGAGTTATTGTCATTTTTGATGGTGTAAACAAACAGCTTCTTCTTTATCTAAAAAAAAAAAAACATGTTTAGTTTCATTTTTCAATTAGAAGTGAAACTCACACGCTTACCTCAACTGATTTAAAGGGATAATTCAGCTAAAAAGTTCCCCTTTATGAGTGTCTTTCTTCTGTCATACACTAAGGAAGATATTTTGAAGAAAGCTGGAAACATGTAACCATTGACTTCCATGTTATTTGGATTTGCTACCAAGATATATGGCTTTCAGCTTTCTTCAAAATACGTGAAGTTCATTTATAAACAAATTTCGAGAGGATCACGTGCTTACGATTGTTCACAGCTGTTCCAACTTTAGCTAATGACTGATTATCCTATCAGACGATCCTTAACTCACTATAAATAACCAGACTTTTCTCATCTCAATATCTTCGTCTTTAAGAAACCCCCCGACCCGACCCAACCCTACTTTCCCTCCTTTCAAACGGGCGTCACGGTGGCCAGCAATTAGTGCTGTTGCCTCACAGCAAGAATGCCCCTGATTTAATTCCTTTCCAAACCATGCAACATTTCTGTGCAGAGTTTTGCTCGTTTTCCCTGTGGGTTTTCCCCGCGTCCTCCGGTTTCCTCCCACAGTTCAAAAACAAGCACTCTAATCAATTAATCCAAAATATTTGAGCCAAACTCTGAGTACACCTTTCAGCATCCATATCTGATACTTAGCTACAATAAGCAGGAGGGGGAGTCATCGAGATCTACCTGAGCTCAAACTCCCCTCTCGCCTTGCAACGGGAGGGAACCCAGGACTCGAGGATCTTATAAGCTCAGGGCTATCTCCCGTGACAGCACGCCAAACTAGCTTTATTATCAATCATCAGCTAAGTGTGAACTCTTGAACTTATTTTGAGTTTAACAACTCATAAAGGGTTGAAAACATGTGAGTAAACAGTGAGTAAATCTTCATTTGTCTTAGATAAACTCCCCCTTTAATTCAAAACAGTGATGTATTTTGTTTTTCTACAGAAAAGAAACATCCTTTGTAAAGAGAACTGAAAAATGTTGGCAGTGTGTAGGTGGTGTTACAATACCTGGAGGTACCTGTGGTAGTAAAATGTTTAAACATAAGCGACAGTGCAAAATTAATGCAGGTCTTTCAGAGCGTGACACTCCCAGTGTGGCGTAATCAGAACCTTGAATTCCACAAGTGTTCATGAAGTGTGTAATAGATTGATTTATGGCTAGCCCACTCAACCCACCCCTGAAACAGTCATGTTACACCTCCAGAAAAATGAAAAGGCAGGTTTATAATGGGAGGACAGACTCCTCTGTTGCAGTGTGGTTGGCTGTGGACACTGTTCGCAACATGTCCTCTTCATGCACGTCTTCGTCATCTGATTGGACAACAGGAGTGTTTGATCCATCCTCATTGGAGGGCTGACTGTCACAGGTAGAGTTGGAGGAAGTAGATAACATACGTGACTTGATCTCACGGGGATCAGGAATTCTCAAGGGCAAATCGCTTCTCTGTAGTCCATTCTCTTCCAAGTCAGCGTGGCCAAAATCTGGAGAAGAAGAAGAAGAATTTAATTGTACAACATTGTTCGCCATTATCATTTTTAGACCTTTTTCACAAGACGATGATGTAAATCCTCAAAAGTTTTTTAAAACAAAACATTTATAAAACTTATATCATCTTTGCATCAAATTACAACAAAAATTAGCTTAATAGAGGCGTTTATAATGCAATGTCTATGTACGGGACACGGTTCTCTCTTCTGGCTGCCGTTATCATTCTGATACTGTGTCCTAAACTCATGTGACAACATTCCAGCCATAAGCAATTTGGTTGTCTGAACCAAAAGTGACGTAACAGAAACATTTAAATACCAGCAATTGCACTCCCAACCAAATGGTAAAGGCTTTTAATCTAATTAATACATATTAAACCTCTTATTATTATTAATATCGTCCACTGTGTGACTAATGTTGGTTTGCAATATGTAATGCTGTGTTCACACCAGACGCGGAACGCTCGGATAAATCGCGATATTCGCGCGTAAATAGCCGCGTGAACATTCGAGTTTACTCGCTTCATTCGCGCGTCAAACCCCGCTTCATTCGCGTGTCAAATTCACTTCAGAACAGACGCGGATTCGCATGATGGGCAGGGCTTCTGTCTGCCTGAAGACTCTAGCTTCATTGCTAAATGGATAACATGGATTTTATGAAGAAAATAACAGTGTTTATGTGCTTTATGAAGACTGAAAAACAGCGTCAATACGTTTAGGGTCGTGTCTGAGTCCACTACATTCTTTCAGAGGTGCATCCAGCTCTGTGAGCTCATAAACTCCTCCAGAAACTTAACCTGGATGACGGAGACTTTCAGCGGAGCTTCTGACTGAGCCAAGCCGAGTTTGATGAACTGTTGTCGGGGAAGGCTGGAGGATTTCCCTCGGAACACAGACAACAGGTTCTCCGTCACAATCACGCCCCCACAAGAGCAAGCTTCTGATTGGTTAACGCGGCACGAATGTATGCTGAAGTTCAGATTTTCGAACTCGAGAGATTCGCGCGAAACGCTCGTTAAGCGCGTCAAACGTGCAAAACGCTTAATTCGCCCAGCGCCATTCGCGTAATTTGCGTCATTCGCGCCGCGCCATTCGCGCGTATCGCGCCACAGGATGTCTATTCGCGCATTTGCATTGACTAAACATGTAAATCACTCGCGCTTGACGCGCGTTCCGCATCTGGTGTGAACACAGCATCACAGTTCTGACTTTCGTTTTTAAACCGTCTGCTAGTTATTCTATTTTCAAGACCTGAGGTGAACTATCAGCTGCTGCTTTCAGTAGTATGTTAATAAATGTCACGTAAAATGGTATTTCAACTCACATTGGGAGCATTTAACACTGAATAAAGCACATAATCAGTACCTGAGGTGATCATTGTCAACGTAGTTTATGCTGTTGTTCTGCTGTGACATCGCAGAAATAGAAAGCATTTTTAATACAGAAATTTTGCACATCGCTGTCGCAGGTACTTAGGACAAAACTCCTTTAAACATGAAAAAAATGAAACGTTTTTAATCGCATGTTCCTGTGCCATGTTGAATGTTGTTAAGATGTGGTGTTACACTTTTTTCCTTTACCTATCATCATGGTAATATCATGATAATGATATTGATTATATATTGAACAATATATCAAACAATATCAATACTGAAAGTTTATATGGTTATTTGAGCAAATTGAAATGCTACATGCAGGTGAAGTCAAAATTATTAGCCCCCTTTTAATTTTTTTTTCTAATTTTTTAATATTTCATAAATTATGTTTAGCAGAGCAAGGAAATTTTCACAGTATGTCTGATAATATTTTTTCTTCTGGAGAAAGTCTTATTTGTTTTATTTAGGCTAGAATAAAAGCAGTTTTTAATTTTTTATGAAGCATTTTAAGGCCAAAATTATTAGCCCCTTTAAGCTATTTTATTTTCGATTGTCTACAGAACAAACTACTGTTATTCCCTGATTCCCGACATTATTGAAAAGATAAAATAAATCAGCTTTTAGAAATGAGTTATTAAAACTATTATGTTAAGAAATGTGTTGAAAAAAATCTGCTTTCTGTTAAACAGAAACGTCAAGATGTTTTTTACTGTAGAAGAGGTTATCCAGACAGCATTTTGTGTGTGTGTGTGTGTGTGTGTGTTTAAAAGAGGCATAATAGACATCTAAACATGAAACAAAAGGCTAAATTTGGGCTGTCAGTGAAAATCTAAAAGACTTCTAACAGCAGTCTAAATATAGACTAGTCACCAAATAGACCGATCAGACAGACTTCACTTGCAGCCATTTCTTACTGTCTATTTGATGACTAGTCTATTTTTGGACTACTGTTGTAAGCCTTTTAGATTTTTTCTGACAGCCCAAATTTAGCCTTGTTTTAGTCAAGACATCTATGTTTAGCTGTCTATCTGGTGTCTTTTGCCGGGCAAATTTATCCTTGTTTTAGTCAAGACATCTATAATTAGATGTCTATTAGGCATCTTTAAACACACAAAAATGCTTGTTGGGTAAATTTAACCTTGTTTTAGCCAAGACATTCATGTTTAGATGTCTATTAGGCGTCTTTTAAACAAAAAATACTTGTTGGGTAAATTTAACCTTGTTTTAGCCAAAACATCAACATTTAGACGTCTATTAGGCATCTTTAAACACACAAAAATACTTGTTTGTTAAATTTAGCCTTGTTGTATCCAAAACATTTATACTTAGATGTCTATAAGGCGGCGAGGCAGTGGCGCAGTAGGCAGTGCTGTTGCCTCACAGCAAGAAGGTTGCTGATTCGAACCTCGGCTCAGTTGCCGTTTTTGTGTGGAGTTTGCATGTTCTCCCTGCCTTCGTGTGGGTTTCCTCCAGGTGCTCCGGTCTACCCCACAGTACAAAGACATGCGGTGCAGGTGAATTGGGTAGGTTAAATTGTCCGTAGTGTATGAGTGTGTGTGAATGTGTGTGGATGTTTCCCAGAGATGGGTTGCGGCTGGAAGGGTATCCGCTGCGTAAAAACTTGCTGGATAAGTTGGCGGTTCATTCCGCTGTGGAGACCCCGGATTAATAAAGAGAATAAGCCGACAAGAAAATGAATGTCTATAAGGCAACTTTAAGCACACAAAAAATGCTTGTTGGGCCAATTTAGCCCAGTTTCACTCAAGATATCCATGTTAAGATTTATTTTATGAATCTTAAAACACACAAAAAATGATTGGAGGGGAACAGAAAACCTGAAATAACATGTTTCAACATAAAATGATGAATTATTTCATATGATTCTTTGCACTCATTTGTTTGTTAAATATCTGTCACAAGTGCTGTTAACTGTAACGGCTCATAGACGCTGTTTTTACAACCTGACATATTTTAACATGACACTGAAAATCAGTGTTCAAACCTGTCTCAGTAAAAGCCTTAAGCCTTGTTCTTGTTTGTGCTGACAGTGTTATTTTTTTCTTTTTCACGCCGATTATGTGCAGACTCATGGCCAATTTGAACCTGTTTCAATTACTGCCCGTGTCTGTTACAAACAATCTTATGGAACAAAATCAATGCCAAAAGTCTTGAATTAAAAAGCTTGCTGAATAGCACAAACTGAAAAAAATAATATACCGTATTAACAAGTTCTTGCATTTTAATGACTTGAATTCCGGGGTTTTTATTTTTAGGTCCTGAAATTTAACATATCTGTTTATTTAAGCTGTAAAGATTTCAGCTAAAAATATTTCAAACACGTTTTCATACTTTTAAATTCGATAATTCATATTCAATTTCCAGATTTCACTTACAAAATATTCACTACCCTTTAAAAATACGATGTATAATATTCAAAGGGCAATTTTCAAATTTCAAATAAAATTAATATAATTAATATATAATATTCAAATTGCGGCAATTTTTGCTGCAAGTTTCCGGGAAATGCGGAGGGTTTTATTCTCTCATTCGCAGTGCGGTATCAAACATTGCATGAAAAATACACGCTTAGAGCAGTTCCTCGAATCAAATATATCATTTGTCGCGAGGGACATGAATGAATTCCCTGAATGAAAAAGCCAAACTGCAGTTAAAGTCCACCATTTAATAATTTGGCAAATAATTCGACTACAGATGTCCATGTAGGTTAAACACCATCACTTTCTACTGTCTGTGTGTATTTTGACTCTAAAACTAGCGCGTGCCCAAATAGACACTCCCACACCCTCCCACTTTAGTTCCTCCGACACTTCCCCCTAAACAGAGCTGGACACGCCCACTTTTCTGACTTTTTCCAAAGTAGAGGTGTGAAAACACCCTGCTGAAATGAGGGGATTTCATAGCCCTTTAACAGTACTTCAAATGCTAAACTGGACGAATGTGTCTTCAACTGTGACCTAAAATCCTCTAAAGACTCTCGAATGTACAGGAAAAGACCATTCCACAATTCTGGCCCTACACCACAGCAAATATTTTGGACATTGGAACAGTCATTAACGACTGATTACCTGATCTCAGTGACCACCTTTACACCAGCAATAAAGTGAGAAGTAGTTGTCAGTTTCAGGTATGAGCAACATGAACTGTGGGAGGTGCAATTAAGTTCAATAGAGTTCTGCTTTACGCAAATACCTTATGGGAATGCAGACAGTCCTGCCAGCTGCCACGCAGGCCCATAGAAAATATGTGCTTTAGCAAAATGTACTTCAACACAGGTTTGACTGCAGTTTCTAGATAGAATGACACTATGATGTCAACAACTTTACTTTCCTATCACACTAATACAGGGGTTCCCAAACATTTCAGCCCGCGACCCCAAAAATAATCATATCAGTGGCTCGCGACCCCCATTTTTCAAGGTGGTTGTACTGTAAATATGTAAATGTTGCAGACACAACTATAGGCAAATATAAACATGAGCTTATTGACAACACAAAAATGCAACAGTCTATTAGCCATATAATGTTTTTTAAAGTCATTTATGGATTTAATTACATTTTGCTTTTAAAATTAAAGGCTGATGACTGATTGTTATTTTTATGTTGTTGTTTCTTTAATGCAACCATTAACTATATTCTGTCGATTATGAATAAAATATGGTAATTCTAATAGTTTAATAAAATTTATTTGAGTTTTGGATATCACCAAGCGACCCCTTGTCATTGTCCCGCGACCCCCTAGGGGGTCCCGACCCCCACTTTGAGAACCACTGCACTAATAGTATTGACATTCATTCATTTTTCCTACTGCTTAGTCACTATTTTATAAGGCCCTCACAGGGGAATGAACCGCCAACTGTTCCAGAATGTGTTTTACGGTGTGGATGTCCTTACAGCCGCAACCCAGTCCTGGAAAATACCTATACACACTCATTCACACTTAATTTATTTAATTCACCTATAGCTCACGTCTTTGGACTGAAGGGGAAACCGGAGCACCCGGAGGAAACCCACACAAACACGGGGAAACATGCAAACTCCACACAGAAATGGCAACTGACCCAGCTGTGACTCAAACAAGCGACTAAGCCAAAGTAAAATGGATGAATGAACTACTAACCCATCCACTAAAAACATGTAATGCTCTGAAAGCATTTAATTTCATGTAAATGTAATTTTATTAAATTTTTTTATATAAATATTACTTTTTTTCTCTTTCAGAAACTATGTGAAATATAATACCTCTCGTTCTTGTGGCACTGAGTTAAAAAAAAAACTATCCCATCTTAAAATCGCTGTAAAAAAAATTGTAGACAGCGCCCTCTTGTGGATTTTTCAGTGACACCTGATAATGCTGATAATCACCACATATTACCTCACTAAGAACTCTTGTGTGTGGCTGTGGGCTCTTGTTCATGTTGCAGGCTGTCTACAGCCAGACAGTTTGTAACAACATACAAATGAATCTGAAGTGTTAAAGTATATCACAAAAGAGCTTACTTACAATGGAAACTGTTAGGCAGATGTAAATTGTTCACCTGGTAGAGGGGATGTCAGTGATCCTTCTTCTCCACTGGCAGCGAAGAAGACGTCCAAGGCCTCCTGATCAGATATGTCCATCAGGTCCATCTGTTCCAGCATATCAACGTTCACCTCCATTGATGAGATGCTTCCTAAGGGCGCTGCAACAACACACAGCTTTTGAGATAAAAAGAAAGCAACTCCTGGAGAATATGGCATTTTTGGCTACATATGATCGACAAAAGATAAACTTCTGAAATATACACTCTTAGAAATAAAGTGCAAATGCTATCACTCAGGTGGTAACCTTCACCTGAAGAACTTTATGTACCTTTTAGGTACTAACATGTACACTTAAAGTACAAAAGTGTATTTTTTGAAAGGGTACCCTATATATTGGTGACAATAGTTCATGGTATCACTTTATTTTGATGGTCCCTTTAAAGCATTGTGTTGAATTTAAAATACATTGCATCTACATGCCAACTAATTCTCATTAGATTACAAGTAGACTTTTAGCTTAGGGTTTGGGTTGAGTTGACAAGTTTCTTATAGTCAGTTAAATGTCTGTATTACTATCAGCAGATATTAAGCAGACTAATACTTAAATACTAATACTTAAATAAGAAGTAACTGGCATGCAGTTATAAAGCAACTTTTAGTCAACAAAATATGCAATACGAACCATCAAAATAAAGTATTCCCATGTCTGAAGCTGACCAAATTTCATGGTATTTCAAAGTTGGATTCAAACTGAATTTAGCTTGAGGTGTTGATTGCATTACTTTTTGAAGCAAACACAAAAACTGAACTCAAATTTATATTAAACTGTTTAAATAAAAATAAATTTCTGACCTTCAATCTAATACACTAGCTATATAGCAGACACGCAGTATATTCACCTCTTTAAATGTTTTTTCTTCCTCTCTCTAAAATACATTCACCGGCCACTTTATTAGGTACACCTTACTGGTTCGGGGTTTGCCTTCAGAACTGCCTTAATCCTTTGTGGCATAGATTCAACAAGGTACTGGAAATATTCCTAAAAGATTGTCCATATTGACATGATAGCATCACGCAGTTGCTGCAGATTTGCACATCCATTATGTGAATATCCCGTTCCACCACATCCCTAAGGTGCTCTATTGGATTGATATCTGGTGACTGTTGAAGCCATTTGAGTACCGTGAACTCATTGTCATGTTCAAGAAACCAGTCTGAGATTATTTGTGGCATGGCACATTATCCTGCTGGAAGTATCCATCAGAAGATGGGTACACTGTGGTCATAAACGGATGGACATGGTCAGCAACAATACTCAGGTAGGCTGTGGAGTTAACACAATGCTCAATTGGTACTAAAGTGTGCCAAGAAAATATCCCCCACACCATTACACCACCACCAGCAGCCTGAACCGTTGAAGGCAGGATGGATGCCTCAGTTTTCTGTTCTTGGCTGACAGGAGTGGCACCCGGTGTGGTCTTCCGCTGCTGTAGCCCATCTGCCTCAAAGTTGGATGAGTTGTGTGTTCAGAGATGCTCTTCTGCAGACCTCGGTTGTAACTAGTGCTTATTTGAGTTACTGTTGCCTTTCTATCAGCTCGAACCAGTCTGGCCATTCTCCTCTAATCTCTAGCATCAAGGCATTTGTGCTCACAGACCTGCCGCTCACTGGAAATTTTCTCTTTTTCAGACCATTCTCTGTAAACCCTAGAGATGGTTTTGCGTGAAAATTAAAGTAGATCAGCAGTTTCTGAAATACTCCGACCAGCCCGTCTGGCACCAACAACTATGCTACATTCAAAGTCTCTTAAATCCCCTTTCTTCCTCATTCTGATGCTCGGTTTGCACTGCAAAAAATGCTTTTCTTACTTAGATTTTTTATCTCGTTTTTAGTCCAAATATCTACAAATTCTTAAATCAAGAAGCATTTTCTAGACAAGCAAAACATCTTGTCTTGTTTTGAGAAATAATATGTCAATATTAAGTGAGTTTTTCCTTAAAACAAGCACAATAATCTGCCAATGGGGTAAGCAAAATAACCTTACGTCAAAAGAAAAAAACAAGATTAATTTGCTGACCCCATTGGCAGATTATTTTGCTTGTTTAAGGAAAAACTCACTTAATAATGGCAGATTATTTCTCAAAACAAGACGATATGTTTTGCTTGTCTAGAAAATGCTTCTTGATTTAAGAACTTTTAGATATTTAAACTAGACACAAGACAAAAAAAGCGAAGTAAGAAAAGCATTTTTTGCAGTGTGAGCTGCAGCAGATCCTCTTGAACATGTCTACATGCCTAAATGCATTGAGTTGCTGACATGTGACTGGCTGATTAGAAATTTGGGTTAACAAGCAGATAGACAGGTGTACCTAATAAATATTCTTTTTTCCATAACTAAATTGATTTCCATAAACATTTGATAATTAATCCTCAATATTTTACAGTAGTTTCATTATACACATAAAAGTAGATGAATAATAAAAGATAAGAAATAAGATGATAAAATTTATAATAAAGATAACAAAATATAATAATAAAAATCAAACTCACGTCTTTTATAATCTATCTGCAGGTGTGCAGAGGAAAGGTAGACATCTACATCATGTTGAAACACTTCCTCGAAGAATCGTTGTCTCTCTCTCAGCCTCATTTGTTGGCTTGGTTCTGTGTCCGGGACTCTCTGTGCATGTTCCGACTCCGCTACCAACGACAACAAGAACAGTCAGTTCAGGCACAATTGATATAAACACCAAAATGAGTAGTGAGTGAATAATATTTACTCAAATTATATCTGTACTCTTTTATACAACAGATTGGTCAAGTGCTAAACTCTACAAACAGTAGGGGGCGCTCCCTGTCTGTTATTAATCAATAAGAATGAAAATATCCCTACTATGCGTGTGGATGAAAAAAGGATTTAAAGAAAACAACGTGCTAGCAAAAATAAACATTTGCAAAATGTATATGAATCATAAATGAATTATCAATATATAATAATTATTACATTGTGTCTGTTAGTATATTTGATGAGTCAGGACGATGATAACAATTCTTTATTTAAGCATTTTTTGATAAGCTGGAAATAAATGTGGGTCTGTTTACCAGTCAAGTACAGTGCAAAAGTTACTGTAAATGACTAAGAAACAGCGAGACCTTCTTTAGAAAAATGAGATGTCAATCAGCATCAGGAACTGCCAGCAGCAAAAAAAAATTACACCCTTTTACCTAGATTTTAAGTTTTTAAAATGTAGTTTTTTTGGTTTTTTAAACTCAAATTTTTTTTATTAGTATTATTATTATTTAATTGGCTCAGAAAAAAAAAATATATGACCTCTTTTTTGTATGATCATAATATAAATAAAACACTTTTTAAAATTGCTGATAAAATCGTGTTGTTTTTTTAATAATTATATTGTAATAAATATTGCCATCTAAATACTCAACAACAACTAAATCAATATACTAAAACATTTAAAGGGGTGGTCTAGAATGTATTTTTAAGGCTTGGTTGTGTTTATTAGATGCAAATTAATGTGTGCTCATGCTTCATTTGTAGAAAATCACATCATATATCCTGTGATTATATACTGCTACTCAGCTAACATGAAAACATCTGTCATATTTCCTGGTTCCTCTGAAAGGCCCGCCCATTAAGAGACTAATTAATCAGCTACAGTAACTTAATGTGCTGTGATTCGTGGGTTGGCTACACATCACCAAGTCACGCCCCTTTTGCTCTGTGTAAATACTGTCCATCAGAGCAGCTGTTAGCAGCATTAGCTGCTTGAATCAGACAGAAAAAAAACACACAGCTGAACGTCATGCCTGCTCTCTTAAATAAAATCTGACACATGTCTTTCATATATGTTTTGATTATAAACATGTGTAAGTTGTATGAAACGTTCTCATATCTTTTGCGAGTTTGTTATTTGAGATGTTCAACGCAGGGAAAGCTGCTGCATAGACAGACACTGCAGCGCTGCTGAAGACTGTGCGGTTATAGCGGTTTGACTAATAGATATGAATTTTCTAGCTAAATTATTAGCGGCGCCAAACAGCATTTCCTCTTGTTTACATGCTTGCTTATGTCCTCACTACACTGTAAAATCCAACAGTTAACTTTATTAAATAAATTGATTGTAGTTAACTCAATTTACTAAAAGTTAATTCTACTCATTTGAAAAGAGTTTTGTGTTGAAGGTAATGAGTTCATTAAATACCTCATTACTTTACCTTAAATGGAGTAAGTTCACAGTACTCATATAGATTAGTTCTTTAACTAAAGGGTTTCTAGCAATCGGTTTCCTCAAATGATTTGAGTTGCCTTAACATATTGGGTTTTGCAGTTGGTTTGAGTTCTCTTCATTTATTGGGTTTTACTGTGCTTAAATTGCTTCATTTACTCAAATTTAGTACTCATTAGGATTAGTTTTTTAATTTAAAGGGTTTGTTGCAATCATAACAGAAATGTTGGTTGGAGGAGTTTAAGCCGAATCCAGCTCTGAACTGGGAGAGATTCCGGAAGCTGTCCTTTGTCAAATGCTAGCTATATATATTTTTATAAGTCTCTGGAACATAACTAAAATTAAACTGTAAGCACTTCTCACTTTGTGTCCTTTGAAAGCCCAAATACAGAAACAAAACAAGCTCTGTGGAAATAGCAGCGTTTGGACGGTATTTTAGCTTTCTCTGCTATAACATTTTATCGCCTCTGGCCTCGCCCCTTCACTGCGCAGGGTGAAGGCCCGTGCACACCCAGACGTTTTTTGCTCACGTTTTCCGTCCTTGTTTAACGCCTCCAGACAAAATAAAGGCTGTCAATGTGATCGTGCACACTAACGCGCAAAACGCCAGGCCCAAAAGCATCATTAAATAAAAAACGCCTCATGCTTGTTCTTTTTTATTTGACGTGCCGCGTTGAAACCTTCTCCACCAATCAGATAAGCACTTTTGTTCACATGCACGGAGCGGCTGAAGTTACAGTAAACAGCACTTAGAGGCGCTCAAGTGCAAAGCTGTCAATAAGAGCGCACATTGAAGAAGATGCACAGAGGCGATATAAACGCTTAGCTGCTTATTGCACTGGTGAACAATAATCATTTCTTCATCACAAGAGCTGGAGCTGCTACTTGAATAATCTATGCTTGTTCGAGTAACCAGTAACTTTAACAAGGGTGTGAACTTCCTCTCTTCCTCTTCTTCTGTGTTACAAGCGGGTGTCGGAAGCTTAAAGTTGTGTAGCGCCATCTACCTCAAGGAGTGATTTTGCATACTCTTCTGCTTGACGCCAGTGAAAATCAATTGGGTTTGAATGCGGAATAACATCTCGTAAAAAGCTGACGATAAACGCAAACAAAAAGCGTCCCGGTGTGTAGGAGCCTTGAGAGCGCGTGGTGAATGCGTGTAACCTGAAGCCCTTGTGATCCCACTAACCTGGATGTATTTTCTTTTAGTCCCCAAACTTTGTTCGCTAAAGACTTTGCTAAGCTAACTCTGTAAAAGCCAATGTCTCCCTTTGAGCATATTACATTCAGAGATGCTGTTTATGTTCATATAGCTACATTACACATCAACTAAAGTTTAAAATATGATATCGTAGTGGACCACCCCTTTAACAAATGGTATTGTCCCTACTGAAAAATCCAGCTTAAACCAGCCTAGGCCATTTCTCGGCTGGTTTCCAGCCATTTTCAGCTTGATCTTAGCTGGTCAGGCTGAAAAATGACCAGCTAAATCCAGCCAAAACCAGCTTGACCAGCCTGGTTTAAGCTGGACATAGCTGGTTTTGGCTGGGCTGGTCAAGCTGATTTAAGCTGGTCATCTTCCAGCCTGACCGGCTAAGACCAGGCTGGAAATGGGTGGAAACCATGGCCAAATCCCCTCTTAAACCAGCCTGGTCGACCAGCTTAAACCAGCCTAGGCTGGTAGTCAATAGAATATTTAACAATTATATATATTTTTACCAAAATTCTAAATGGGTAAAACAAGTGTAAGTTTGACAGCAACTTGTAGAAGTAACATTGCCTTGACAAGAGCACTGACCTTTAATCTGAAACAGAGATGTTAGTCACTGTTCTACATATAAACAGAGTTCTCTCAATGTGTGGCAAGACACGCAGAAGCATCCCTAAATAGACAATATGAGTCATCTGCCACCCTGACCCCAGCCATTTAAAACGCAAATACCAGTTCACAGTTAAGCAGTGCTGACCGACTTCCTTTAGTTTTGGTGAAAATAATATCAAATATAATCAATAAATATCACTAACATCAGCAGTCTGTTCATAGACATTCATGAGATATTTTTCAAAGCATTCAAATCTCTTTACATGACACACAACCAACTAATCGTCAGACTAATAGTGGGCTGTCAGTAAGACATGTTCACCCTGACATTTGTGTTTCAGTGTCCTTGAAAAAGTGACACAGCTGAGCTGAAACAACAGCCCTAAACCTTGCACCAAAGGGGCTCCAAAGAGAATGGCATTCTTCTGCTTTAACAAGTCATGCAGCTTACACAGATACAGCGTCCCGCAACTCCTCCATAATTAGAAGGCACAAGCTGAGCCTGAAATAATTGGATATGCCTTTTAAACCTGATCTAAAATAGGAATAACGTGAAGATTATCTGGTGTGTGCTGGGAGAACTGATCACGTTCAGTTGAGTTCAGACATGCTGAACAGGGGTGTCACTGAAAGGCCATAACAGGGTGCAACGTGACAAAGCATTTCATTTTCTACTCAGAGAACTGGGTTACATACATGAACCTTCCAGAAGTGGCACCAGTCTGATAAAACAAAACAAGTATACTAAATGGTGCAGTGCTCTGAATGACTCTTTCTCTATGCTCTCTGACTTGAGTTAAGCCATCACTGAAAAAAGCAAAGAGGCAGAATCAAAACTAAGCATATGCTTTTGTATGCTCACGTTGCTAGGTGGTGGTGAACGATTCACCTGTGCATGTCATTAAGAAAACAAATTTGTTTGCCCTTCTAATCTTTCATTGAAATCTGAAAACGCACTTCCTGTTTGTTTTTAGTTATATTATCATATTATGATTTTGAGGTAATGGCTTAAAATACTTAACCATGCTGCTGCAACTGTCAGTTTTGACAACAGACAGAAAGGCAGGAGGTGTCTGTTAGATTGTAATAGCTCTTCTACAATGTTTTTTTCTCAATATTTTTGAATGAAATACCTATTTTACTACATCCAATCAGCTCGTAGTACAAAAACAAGCCACACCCACTTTTTGCTCATTTAAAATTTCGTTTCTCTAGGAACTGCGTCACGATACGGAAAAAATAATGATCACAACTTACAATTCTTAGGGACTTTAAAGGGATACTTCACCCAAAAAATGACAAATCTGCCATCATTTACTCATCCTTGGCTTGTTCTACTTTAAGTTTTTAATTTTATGACATTATCAGCAGCAAGATGTTCCTAGAGCTCTTTGGAGGTGGTATGTGGTCTGTCTGTGACTATTCTAAACATTCTTCGTCTTTGCTTTTCAGATATTTTTCATGGTCCAGCACATCTTTCCTTCACAAGAACTGTTCCTGTGGCCTTCCATTTTCTTACTATATTTCTGATTGTGGAGATACAGACTTGAAAAACCTTTGTAATAGCTTTTTGTATCCTTATCCTAATTCATGCTGATGAATTGTCCAAGTTTTTAGGTGTATATATATATATA